TCTAGCTCTTCGCTACACAGCCGAGCAGTCTACCAACTACAGCACAGCGATGCTCTACAGCTATGACCATTGCGAGGATCTGGACAAGCATTTCGATCCACCAGAGCTGGACTGGAGTGACATCAGCATGATTGACTGGCCTGACGACCTCTCTGACATTGTTATTCCGGATCAGCAGCCACCGCGCGATCCACCAGCACCGCCAGCTCGGGCACCACCAGTTCCACCTTTTCGGTCAAATGCTATACCTCCACAAGAGCCTGGACAACCACCAGATCAGCCATCGCATGGTCAACCCTCGACGGCGCCAGCTACGGCAGGCACGCCGCAGCTCAACGTCCCAGGCGACCAGACTGTCGACAGCGACGACATGGAGGAGATACCAGCTCATGGACATGATCACGACCTACCTCCAGCACCTGGACCAGCACCTCGACACATCTCCCGAGAGGCATCTATGGTCCACCTTCGTTGCAGCCACAGCACCGAGACACACAAGGATCAGAGGACTCACTGCAGACTCCAGCTACTCCTGACAAGCTACCTAACGTCCCTCTCGACTTGGACAAGTCCAAGACAAGCACAGCGGAGAAGCAGAAAGCAGTTGATCCTCCAGACGCGGCACAGTCACCACCTCAGAAGCGAGGAAGGTCATCATCGCCATATCCATGGCCCTCTCCTTGGCAGCCTGAGTCACCACCACGACCACCGATGACTTCTACGGGGAGATATCAGCCAGGAGCTTCTTCATCGTCAACGGACTTACCAGCGGCTACACCGGGTACGTCTTCGACACAACCAGCTCCAGCGGATTCGACGGAACCGCCTATACTTCCCATTCGTAAAGATGAAGTACCAGCAGGAGAGCAACCCTCGACTTCTACTGACAGAACTCTGGAATACAGCGACGACCCAGATGGAGATACCAGAGTCTTATACCAGGAGATGATTGACCACCTTGACATCCCCAAGATTGTCAATCTATGCGAACGACTACCCGACGGAACTCACAAGCAAAGTATGGAAGCAATTTATGACGAGATGATCAGCAACCTCTCAGATGATTTCGATTTTGTATCTCCGACACTTTACTCCGACTCGGACCGGTACCTATACTTCCATTACGATTTGCATAAGTCAATGGTCTTTCGAGTTGATGATTCGACGGCGAACCTCACAGACGACGAGATGAGACGTTTTGCGAAGTTGGTTATTGCAGGAGATCGCAAGGAGTTGAAGGCTTTTGTTACTCATGATATTTTTGAACCTGTACTTCGAGACCACCTACCCGATAAGGCGAACATAGTTGATTGCACATGGATGAGGAAATGGAAGGTCAAACACGTCGAAGTCAAATCACGACTATGCGCTCGCGGCTGTTTCGACCGACAAAAGAACTTTATCGAGAAGCACAGCTCGACAGCGACAAGATTATCGCAGCGCTTGGTTTTGAGTTTAGGATGTTGTGAAGGCATTTTACATGTGAACGACGAGAATGACGGCGATGTCGACACCGAGAGCCTGGATATTTCAACGGCTTTTCTACAAGGACTTGGATATGACAACCTACGCGAGAAAGCAAGGAATCTCGGCTATGAATATCGCGAAGACCGGACAGTCTACATCCTCCCTCCGGAGAATGTATGGAGTCACTTTCGACGCATGCCGGAGGCGTCTTCCAGTTGGAAAGTTGCTGACAAGGATCGACGCAGATATGCCCTCAAATGCTTGAGAGCAATGTATGGTTTCATAGACGCACCATTGATGTTTCAGTTGGCCTTGTTGGAGTTTCTCAAAGATAAGACAGGAGCTAAATCATCGGTTTTCGACGACAACTATCTTTACTGGGGCATCGATTACAAGGGCAACAAGGTGATCGTTTTAGTTATGACTGTTCATGTGGATGACCTACAGATTACTGGCAGCAGATTCTATCGCGATTGGATACACAAGAAGTTGGAATCCAGATTCGGCAAGCTCAAGAGGCAGACAATGCCATATACACATGCTGGCCTACAGCTTGAACGAATTGTACCGACGTGTATACGCATTCATCAAGATCAGTTTACATCATGTCTTTCGCAATGTGTTATACCAAAAGAGCGAGTTGATGTGCCAGATGCACCCTGCACGGCAGCAGAACACAAGACGTTCAGATCTCTTACTTGTGGAGCACTTTGGGCATGCCAGACACGACTGGAAGAACTATTCAACGTTGTTTCTCTACAGACCAAGCTACAGAGTCCGACCATCAAAGACCTTTTGGCGATCAACGCAGTGATCAAGAGGCTCAAGAAGAATCCCGAGAAGTTTGGCATTTACTACCGAAAGCTCAAAGCACCACTACGGATCTCTTGCATCACGGACGCCTCTTCAGCCAACAAGAACAGCAATTTCGCCACAGAAGGAGTCACCATAGGTCTTCAAGAAGATCGACTACATTTTCCTTTATGTGATCGACAAGATTATCTGCAGGACAATCTGATCAATCGGCTCAGTGGCAAGTTACATGCATTGGTGGTTACTTCGACCAAGTCTAAGAGAGTTTCACACAGCACGGCCCATGCAGAAACGTTGGCAGCAGCACGAGGAGTTCCCATGGCACAGATTATCGGCATGAGGCTCACAGAACCGGAGATTAACATTCTATGTGGACCTCAGAAACCACTACAGCTTCAAGAACGACTTGACCGTGGGCAGTTGAGTTTACCAGTGGACGCTTTCATTGATTGTATGGACCTGTGGGAGTTATGTTGTGGACTTCGAGGAACACCGCAGGACAAGTCACAGCGGTTGGGTATTCTGTCGCTTCGAGAAGAGCGACGAACCCTGAGATTACGACGACTTTATCATGTTCGTACTAAGTGGATGGTTTCAGATATGTTGACAAAGTTCGTGGGAGCAGATTCCAAGTCACTCTTGGAGCTGATCACCACCGGTTGTTGGACGATTGCAGGCACACTACGAGTCAGGCAAGGATTTGGACTAGACAGTACCAAGTCAGACACAACAAGACCATGATACTTCCAGTTCATGATTTTCATCAGAATCTGGAGTATGATCTGGAGTTTGGTTTTATATATGAGATGTTATATGAGCAGCTCCACATGTATAGCTCTGTTCGACTTCAACTGTGGAGCTAGTATTTCATGTTCACCTTTATCGGCTACCACTTCGAGATAGAGCTCATCAGAATTATTTCGATGGATTTATTTCAGTTGATATATTTCAATGGACTGATATTTGGTGGCCGTGGTGGATTTGATAAGCCTGTTCTGGCTTACTTAGGACTGCTGTCCTACTCTTCTCTTTTCTCACTCCTTCCTAGGGCCGCTACCGAACTCCAGTAAAACCGACTGGGTTTTAATTTTTATAAGATCCAACATGTCCTAAAGAAAATAGGACCAGAGTTGAGATTATTATGTCTAGGACCTGTTAGGCATGTTGTCTCATACGCTAGAAGCAGTACCGTACTGTAATGTACTGGCTCAAGTCTAAGCAGTAAAAGATTCTCATCTTTATTGCCATTCGTTCATATAGCTTTCGCTTAAAGAACTTGATATTTCCAGTTCAGGATTTTCATCAGAATCTGGAGTCCCCCCCCCCGGCAAACCCACCCCCTCCCCCAACCCCCCCCCCCCCCCCCCCCCATCGAAAACCGGGGGGGGTCACTACCGGTTCGAACCCCTCCCCCCCCCCCCCCTCCGGATCCGGAAAAGGGGGGGGTCACTACCGGTTGGAACCCCCCCCCCCCCCTCGAAAACCGGAGGGGGGTCACTACCGGTTCGACCCCCCCCCCACGCACCGCCAGCAAACGACTCCCGGTCCCTACCACCGCTCGCATCACATCCCCCCGCTCGCATCACATCCCCCACTGTTGTTCCCAGCACCACTGTCCTCACCACCACTGTCCCCACTGGTTCCACCACCGTCCCTATTGTCCCCACCAGTGCCCCCACCACTGTCGCACTGTCCCCACTGTTCCCACCACTGTTCCCACCACGGTTCCACTCTCCCCACTGTCTCCACGGACCCAACCACTGCCTATCCCCACTGTCCCCACTGTCCCACTGACTCCTCCGCTGTCCCACTGAGCTGTCCCACTGTTCCCACCACTGTCCCCACTGTCCCCACCACTGTCCCCACTGTACCTCTGTCCCATTGTCCCACCGCCGTCCTCGCCACCGCCTTTACCACTGTCCCCACCACCATTGTACCCTCCACTGTCCCACTGTTTCCACCTCATTCCCACTGTCCCCACACCACTGTCCCCACCACCACCGTCCCCACCACTGTCCACTGTCCCCCCTGTTCCCACCATTGTCCCCACCACTGTCCCCACCACTACCGTCCCCACCACTGTCCCACTGTCCCACTGTCCCCACCACTGTCCCGCTGTCCCCTCACCACTGTCCCCACCAACACCGTCCCCACCACTGTCCGCACCCCCACTCGGTTTTCGAGGGGGGGGGGGTTCGAACCGGTAGTGACCCCCCCCCTTTTCATGATGAGCTGGGGGGGGGGGGGTTCGAACCGGTAGTGACCCCCCCCGGTTTTCCGGAGGGGGGGGGGGAGGGGTTCGAACCGGTAGTGACCCCCCTCGGTTTTCCGCCAGCAGCGGTAGAACACGCTCTTTCACACATCCATACGCACATAAATACACACACACACATGCACACGTACAAACTTACATACATAACGTGTAGTTTTATGTGTACGGAGTTGTGTTTGTGTACGTGTATGTACACGCATCTATATATATATATATATATATATATATATATATAATATAGAGAGAGAGGCAGGCAGGCAGACTGACAGGCGGACAGAGACAGACAGGCAGACGGACGGACGGACAGACAGACAGACAGACACACAGACAGACACACAGACAGACAGACAGACAGGCAGACACACAGACACACAGACAGACACACAGACACACAGACAGACACAAGAGAGACAGAAAGGAAGGAAGGGAGAGGGGGCGGCCCCCGCAGGCGCGACGCGGCCGGCGGCGACGCGGCCGGCGGCGCCCTTGGCCCCCTCGTGGGCGCGCCGGCCGCCAGGAGCCCGGCGCGGGCCCCGCTCGTTGGGATCGGGGGCGGAAAAGAGGGGGGTGATGACTAGGGGGGGGTGGATTTCATGGCGCGGGCCATGATTTTTCCTGAGATTTCATGGCGCCTCTTCTTGTTTCATTACGTCCCTGGCCCCCCCGCTGGGCCGCGCACATGCCGCCGGTCATGATTTGCACCCCCCCCTCTTGGACACCCCCCTCTTTGCCGCTCCCGATGGGAGGGGGCAGCGCTGGGGGCGGGGCCCAGCAGATTCAGGAGGGGAAAAACACACAGACACAGTTCATCGTCGATTCCCCCGCAAAATAGGGGAAACAATGGGAAGTGGGGGGGAAGGCAGAAACCCAGAAAATATGGAACAATACGGGGAATCTGGTTGTTTGTGTCTATTTATTTGTGTGTCCCAGGGCCCCTTCGTAGATTTGGGCCAGGGCTGCAAAGCATCGCGGAAGGTCAGGAGCCTCGAGTCATGTCATGAGGGCTGGGGGTGGTCAGGGGCAGCTCCTGAGTCGTGCCCCAGGGGCCCCAGCCGGAGCTGCCCCGGACCAGAGTTGTATCCCAGACGAATCGGACTTTCGTTCTCTCCCGAGTCATGAGGGTCGGGGTTGGTCAGAGACTCCTGATTCGTGCCTCGGCGGTCCCAACCGGAGCTGCCGTGCACCAAAGTTGTCCCGCATGACTCGGGCGTCCGAGTTGGGCGCAGGGGGGTACGCATCGACCTCCAATCACCTATTCATCGCCGACGACGGGAGCCGACAGCCCGCCACGCCGGGGGCCTATCGCCGATCTATGTACTACTGATTCCAGGTCGATGTTTCCCCACTGCGTCAGTCCCCCCCGTTCGTTGCCCCTCAGCTGAAGGGGGGCAACGATGGGGTGGAGGGGATGGACGTAGGTTTTGTTGTTGGCAGTTGTCGGTAGTTCTCGGCGGTTTCGAAGCCTGGAGTGGTTCCCATCATCTGTGCCTCGTCCCGAGCGGCGGCCGGGGCGCGGAGCTGTGACCCGAAAACCACAGTGCAGGGACGGGCTGGGGGACGCATCGAACCCCAGTTGGCCACTGGTCGCCGGCAGGGGCCGGATAGCCCGCCCCGCCCAGGAAGGTGCGGAGTCGCTGTCTGGGACCCGCCGCCGATCTCTGCGCCTCCATTCTTCCTGAGCCAGTCCCCCACAGTCATTGCCCCTGGACGCTCAGGATGGGTGCTTCTGAAATGGTATGGAGTTTCTTCCTGCCTGAAGTTTTCTTTTTCGGGGGCGAATGCGAAGCAGGTAGGGCTTTAAAGAAGCCGCTTGCCCTATTAGAAGTCGCCCCGCCGTGTTCGGCATCGCCTTATCTCGATGCCGATCTTAATTCCGTGCCCCCGATGATGAACCATCCCACCATCCCCCCTTAGCGCCTGAGTGTTGATTATCATTTGCCAATGCAGTATTGGGCGGGGGAGAGGGGCGGCGAGGCCGAACTTCAACTATCGCCCAGCAGAGTGCGAATTGAAGTTGCGATGTTCCTATATTGAGAAGTGTATTGCACATCCTAGGGGCTACGACGACTTCGGCTACTACGAATGCAATGCTTATCACTACTACGGCTGTAGTATTACCGCTACTACTACGGCTACGACTACTACTCCTCCGACGACTACTACTGAAATTTCTACTACGACTACGGTTAATCCCACGACTACGTGTACTACTGCTACTACGACGATAACTTCTACTACGACGATGACAACGACTACTACTTTTACTACTACGGCGAATTGTACAACTACTACGACCACACTACTACTACTACTACTACTACTACTACTACTACTACTACTACTGCTACTGCTATTGCTACTGCTACTGCTACTGCTACTACTACTACTACTACTACTACTACTACTACTACGATTACTACTACTGCTGCTACTACTCCGACTGCTATTGTTACTTCTGCTACTGCTCCTACTACTGTTACTACCACTACCATGATTACTACGACTACTCCTACTTCCACAACTGCTACTACTACTACTACAACTTCTCCAACTCCTACTAGTACGACTACCGATGGATCTTACTCCGAGTACTGCTACTAATGCATCACACCACTACTGCTCTTTCCTGCTATCATAACAACCACTACCACGAAACCTCAAACTTCAATTACTAGTTCTACTACTATTACTACTACTACTCCTACTACTACCACTACGACGACTACTACCACTACTACTTCTACTGCTACTACTACTACTACTACTACTACTGCTACTACTGCTACAACTACTACTACTATTCGTCCCGCTACCACTATCACGTATTACGACTACGACTGCGACTACACAATTGCTAACATTATTATTTCTACTATTACGATAACTTATACTAT